GGAAATAGGAAGTAAAGCTTGCTGAATAAGAAAAATACCCTTCTGAATTTTTACTACGAAGCATAAAATTCTTACAGGGAATGAATACTTAAGTATATCATGTCATGTTAAAACTTCAGCATTGCAATCTTATTTCCCAACAAAAAATATAAACCACAGGGAAAAGTTTTTAAACAGAGATGAATGGTGTGTGAAAAATTAAAAGCTCCATCTAATGTGTGTGCCACTGACCTCCAATACTACTTGTGTTCTGTTTACCTCTCCCTTTTGGCCTAAATGAAACCAAGCTTCTTATAAACAAAACTGATGAAATCTTAATAAGCAGGCTTAGAACTTTTCTTTGAATATAAAAATTATTTTATAGCATTTGTAACAAATGCACACTAAACCTCTGATTAAAGACCTTCAATAATCATGCACTGACAACCTAAGTGAAATTGTTATATTTCTCAACTCATGGAGAAATAATATAAACAAATAGGATTTGCTTAATTTCATGTTTTCTATAAAATGTATTTTAATTTTCAGTACTTACTTCCACTTGGTGCTATTAAAATCTAGCACAAAGTGTTACTTAATGTAGCACAAAGTAACATACTTAATATATTGAAAAATTTAGTACATCACTATTTCATTTTTTTTTAATAATATATCACTATTTCATCTCCCCCCCCCCAATAATACTGTAATATTCAGGTATGCTGCTCCCAGAATTGGTTTGAGAAACTGTGTCCAAAATGTAAAACTTTAAAAGAAAAGTCCACTTCCTCTTTTACATGGCAATTTTCCAAACTTTAAATATTATCCCTAAAAGGTATGTGAGAAATCATCTAGTCTAACCAACTGTATTTCACAGATGAAGAAACTCTCAGATCCAGAGAGTGACTTATCTTCAATTAATATTCTCATATTCAGGCAAAATATCTCCAATCTTTTCAACAGTTCTTCATATGACATAGCTTCTAGATCCTGAAAACTGTCGTCTTTTCAAGATACACGTAGTTTACCACTGGCCCTTCTTAGAATGTGGTGCTCAAGTATAATCATCATTAGATGGGGTTTTGATAAAGCAGAGTATAAGGGAATAATTAACAACTGTATATTAATACTTCTTCAGCCATGCTGCAGTAAGACTCCTTTCAAGCCTGGGCAGGTAGCCTAAGCCACCTCAAATTCAGACACTGTGCCATTTAGTAAACCTGTTCATGTAAATACACATTGTAGTAATCTAGCTCCAATCTCTGATCAATCAGCTGATCAAGCCATGTTATTTTTGCTTACCTGGCTTTGACTTATGTCTCTCATAACTAAACTGCTTTCTCCTTGATCCTTCCCCCATACTTGAAATAAGCTCTAAGAACATGTTTCTGCTAGAACTGATCTTGCCGAGAAGCCTCGTTAATTCGTAGTGAATTAACTCCCATGTGATCTGATTTCCCAGACCTTGCTAGGGAACTTCTATTTTTAGGCGTCTACCTAGCCTCATTAGTCCTGTAAAATTCTTTCTGAAAGCACCCCAAATAAGGAAAAAATCAAGATGGGACTGTGACAAATATTAAAAATGAGCAGGAAAAGATGTACGCAGGGGTACAGTGAAAGGGGTGTACATGGGTACCACAGTCCTGCCCCATCAAAGGAAAGGGTGGAAAAAACATGAATTGAACCAGAAGTGACCAGTCTAAGCTAAAGAGGGAAAGCAGGGAAAGGAAGCAAAAGCATTACAACCTAGGCTAGCGGTTTTAAGTTACAAAGAAACTGTTCCCAGGATACTCTATTTTTAAGTTTTGCTATTTGTCTTGTCACCTTCCTAACCTCAGAGGCTACTGAGGTATGGTTCCAAATGCCAGTTCAAGGAGACAGGTAGGCTGCACCAGAATCACTTACAGATATTTGTGAAAAAGTTAACTTTCCCCTTAAATTCCACACTCCACTTCCTCCCCCTACCCACATCCCCCAAAACACATAAAACCAGGTCTATGTTAGCCTAAACTCTGCAGACACCGACATACACTGAGTTTGGAAGGCTGATTATTTGACCCATGTTTGAATTATCGGCTGTAACAGGTAACTTATTACCCTATTACATTTCACTTTTAAATTCTTCAATATACTCATTTTCCTAAGTACAATACCATTATTACATGAAAACAATGAATAATTCCTTAACTTCTTTACATCTCAGTTTCCTCAACTCTATAAAATAGGTATGGGTTGTTCTGGCCTCAAAGGATTCTTAGGAGCGCTCTACTGTCTCCCTGACTACATAAAAAAAGAGTTCAGTTTGAACATCTACAGTACAGATAAAAAGCACACAGCTCTTAGGTTCTGAGTTCCAGTCTTGGATCACTGGGCAGTAAATAATTCCAGTCGATCCAGAAACCTCAGCTTGTTTAAGATGATAACCACAGTTCACTTGGAATAGTCATCTCAGCTCACCTGAAATAATCTGTTACCCTTAGTGGATGACTTTCCAATGCTGGGAAGGTTAGGATTTAAGATACAGACATCATGAAATAACCAAGTTCATTTATAAATATTTTATTCAATATATAATCTATGTATTGTGGCTTCAATGCATATACTGTGGAGGAGACTGCATGCATACAAAAGTGTGATGCAAGGAGCAGGGTTATTAGCAAGTGACCTGGATGTACGCTCTGGGTTGTCTGGACAATCGGGGCTCTGCCTTCTGCCAAGGGGAGGGCTGAGCCTACACTCGGCTCCCTAAGAGACAAGGGGCTTCCTTTTCTCTGACAGCAGAGACTGTAACTTGCCCTAGTTCCGGAGGTCTCCAGCTTCTTAGGCCGTTGGCCTTCCCAAACAAATCCTATAAACAGCTATCCCTAAGCTAGACTGCATGGTGTCAAGCACCATCTATGGGACTACTGACCCAAATGTATATCCAGCAGTGACCTGGCCTGAGCAGGATGGAAGGATCAGGGGGGACCAGTGCCCCTTTTTTTGAATTGAGGCAAAATCTAGAGCATAAAATTTGCCATTTTAACCATTTAAAAATGTACAATTCACTGGCTTTCAGTAGATTCACAATGCTGTAGCCATTACCTATGTATGGTTCTAACTGTGGTTAGAACACTGAAATGTTCTAATTGCAGAATATATTTCCATCACCTCCCCCGCAAAAAGACACTGAACCCATGAAGCAATCATTCTCCATCCCCTCCTCATCTCACACCCCCACACCTGGCATACACTAATCTGCATTCTTTCTCTCTAGATTTGCCTATTTTGGACATACCACATAAATGGAATCAAACAATATGTGGTCTTTTTGTGTGTCTGGCTTTCACTCATGTTTTCTTATGTTTTCAAGGTCCATTCATGCTGAGCATACATATATCAGGGCTTCAGGACTTTTCATGGGTGAGTAATATTTCATTGTATGAATGTACCACTTTTGTTTACCCATCATCAGTTTATCGACATTTGGGTTGTTTTCACTTTTTGGCTATTATGAATAAAGCTGCTACGAATAGTCCAATTTTTAAAATGGTCAAATGACTTAAACAGACATTTCTCCAAAAAGATATACACATAGCCAATAAGCACATGAAAAGATACTCTACATCATTAGTCATCAGGGAAATGCAAATCAAAACCACAATGAGATACTATTTCATAGCCATTAGAATGGCTAAAAAATAACAACTGTTAGCAACAAGGTAGAGAAACCAGAACTCTCATACAATGCTGGTGGAAATGTACAATGATATAACCACCATGGAAAACAGTTTGGTGGTTTTTCAAAAAGCTAAACAAGAATTACCAGCAATTCCACTCCTAGGTATACCCTTCCCCTACTTTTTTTTTTTTTTATGTTTCTTGGCTTAAAGTTTCTCCTTCTCCCTTTAAATACTTCCAGAAATAATTGTTATTTAAAAAAACAAAACAAAACAAAAACATGAAAACATGTACTAGTAAGAGAAAATAATCTGAGATTTATGATTCAATTTAAAATGTGTATTAACTTGTGGTTTTTTAAATTGAAAGGTGTTCAGAGATCCTTACTAAATTTGTAAACCATTACACTGGTTAAAATTTTTCTGGATTTTGATCACATCATCCAAAATTAGGTTTCTTCTAAACCTAATACCTGCTTCTTTCTCCACCAGACATCCAAAATGCCTTTTTAAAGTCAACAATTTAACATAAACCCATCCAAATTATGCAAAATTCACTTATCCCTCCCTGAATGCTACTTCATTCCCAGTGCCCAAAGAGAAGCTAGACACTGAATGATATAATTCACATTAAGGTGAGAATGAGGCTTAACAGTCCAGGATCCACAGATTAATAAGAATAAAACACAAATCTGCAATTAGGTACACTATATTTGGAAAGGCAAAGTCTAAACCCTGCTGCCTCTCTTCTGAGGGAAGACAGCCTGCCCCAGTCACCCTTAACTAATTTTTCCAGATAGTAAGACTATATGAACTCAGCAACTACATCATACAAACTACAGTTCCATTCTTCGTTTTTATCAATACAGGTGTTAAAGAGTCCTTTAAATGGCTTTTCACCTGTCTCTCTAGGTTTATTTTCCCTCCTGCCCTTCCACTCTTTCATGGTTAAAAACAATAAAACAATATGCTGAGAGTTTCTATAATGGGGTTAAAAACCATAATTCCTTGTTTGCCTTGAAAAATAAAGACATAAGGAAGAAAAAAATAGGACCATATATAATGGGAAGACATGAAGAGACAGATAAAAATTATCTTAAATGTCTATCAGTGATAGCCAGATCTTGATAAGAGGTTTTTAAAGTTTATAATCCTAGAAAAGATAATATTAATAGCAAGCAATTTTTCAACTGGCCCAAATACATTTAATCCTTTACCACACAATCTAAGGATCACAGCACACTTAAGAATGAAGAAAACAAGATTCAAAATGAAAAATATTTTTTACCTAATAAACTATGCACACAAATATGAATTGTGATATACTACTAAGTTTGAGAAGTTAGTAAAAAGGGACTGTACCTGAGATATTTGGCCCTGGACTTTTATAAGCTGAGTTGTTCGAATATTTAAAGACTGGCTTCTTGTTACCATCGTCCCAGAAAGAGATTTTCCGTTCACCTTTCTCTCAAGGTGACAGCTTGCTGGTGATCGCTCTTCAAGAAGAACGGCATCCCAAGGATCCTCTGCTAGCAAACCCGGAACATTTGTCTCTTCTTCATGGCCTAATGCCTCCACATTGTCCACCTTAGGCTTACTTAAAGGATCCAAATCTAGCCAGTCGAATTTACTGATATCTTCAGACTTTGGAGATACCTGTAGATTGCTGATTGTAGCTTTCGAATTTGTTATTTCCAAATCAGTCCTTGCCTTTCCATTTTTTAAAAATTCTGATGTACTAGCTATTTTGTCAAACAGCTTTGCCATGTCAGGACTGATTACTGGACGATAAATAGGTAAGCTTCCTGGTGGATGAAAGGGTGTGCCAGGTGTCAAAGGATATGAAAAATATGGGGACTGTCTTGGAAGACTTAAATATATAGGTTCTGTGGATGGAAAACTAGGCATTCTCGGATTAAAGCCATTTTGGAATGCACTCTGTTTACTACTGTAAGTTGACTGACAAATAGAAGGTAAAGTATAAGTGGAAGGCCCAGACAAACCTGTTGGCCACTGTCCTCTCTGAATAGTAGGTCTCAGATAGAGCTGTGCTGAAAACGAAGGGCTTAGGACAGGAGTAACTGGCAATACAGGCGTTTTTCTCGTCTCAAAACTGTCATCCAGCAATAGTTTCTCCAGTTCAGCTTGGGTGAGCTTTTCTACATCAATATCTACTGCTCTTTTTTGGGTATCTGATTCAGGAAACACCATGAGATCATAATCCTGTTTGTTATAAACTTGTGCTTTTTGTCTGGTGCTGCTTGACGACTCAAAGCCTCTTTGATTCTCAGTCACTTGTTTATCTTTTTGCAATTTTGCTAAAGCCTCTGCTTCCATCTGTAATGCTTCTTCTTTGTCTACATCTTTTGTTTTCGTTGGTTCCACATGTGAAGATGAACACTGCTTAAATCCATTGTTACTGGATATCTGAGCCATGTCCACTTAAAAGACCAAACTTCCCTTAATCTGTTTTTCCCTTGTCGTTCCCAAAATAGCAAGACCTATACACAAAAATAAACATAACACTCAATTAGATTTTTTAAACAAATGTATTTTGTTTTTAACCTACCCCATGTAATTTAGTTAGGACTTAAAGCCACTTACAAATACACTACCAAATAAAATAAAATGAACAGTTGGGGGAAATCTGGGTGAAGGAACACTGTTAAAATATCTTACACACTCACAGTTGGGTTAAGGAAGATGTTTAGACATACATGACTTTATCCAATTCCCTGACTTAATAGGAAAGCTAGCACATGAACTTAACAAGCTTTTACTTCAGCTGTCACTACAGCTACCATTAACCAGTGGTACTTCTGGCAGAATTCTTGGCATGAAATGGCTTAAACTTACTCATTTATTCTAACACTTCAGGCAGGGTTTACTGTTATGCAAATAGCAAGTCCAAAAGGGTTTCAATCTTTTGCTATTTGTAACTGCTCAAAAGCCAACTAACAATGCAAGTACTCAATACTTAGTCAATAAAATCAAGTAAGTATTATTCTATCAAAATACCATATGAAAAACTGATTGAATTTGTCACAGTTTTGATCACACTTCTGATTATCTTCAGTTAAATCAAGTTATAATACTAAAATTTCTCCTTTCCAAATTGTTAAAATATTTATTCATAGACTAGAAGGCAGTTATTAAATTTTCTTACAGATCAGTTTTTTTTTTTTAAAGATTTTTATTGGGGAATTGGGGGGATGGGAACAGTGCTGGGGAATTGGGGAAAGGGGAACAGACAAGTTGCTGTCGTTTTGTTCTTCAATCTAGTTGTGGAGGATGTTGCTTCACTGGCCCAAGTTGGCACCATCATTGCGCTCTTCTCGGGCGAGGCAGATCAGTCGCCGGCTTCTGGACGGCCGCTCACTGCGGCTGCTGGCTGCTCACGCTGGCTGCTGGCCACACACGGTAGCCCATGGCAATCCACTGCCACAGGGACTGCAGCCCACGCCGTCGCCGGCGACTCATGGCAGCCCAGCTCCAGGTTGAGCTGTTGTTCAGCTTCTTAGCTGTGGAGGGCAGTGTCACTGGCCCTCATATGTGGGATCCGAACCGGGGCCCTCTGGCATCCCAAGCGAGTTCTTAAACATCGCGCCACTCGGCCGGCCCCAGATCAGTTTTTAAAAATATGTACTTCTCTATTTAAGACAAACATTTAATTTAAATAAAGATTACCCTGTGAAGCAATATGACCAATTAGAAGATTCGTTTTCTAGGGCCGGCCGAGTGGCTCAGTTGGTTAAGAGCTCGCTCAAGAGTTTGAGCTCTGAGCAACAGTGGTTCAAGTCCAGCCCGAGCTGAGCAGCCACTGAGTTACCAACAGGTAGCAGGATGGCTCAGCTAAAAACAAAAAAAGAACAACAAAAAAAAGAAGGTTTGTTTTCCACTGTGTGACAGATGGCACATTTCCTGCTTCTAATCAATATGATACAGGGGTTCAAGGTGGGTTCTGGAGTCATATCACCTTGATTGATGAAGCTGTAAATCCTTGGGCAAGTGAAAACTTTTCCACATGCCTTAATTTCCTAACTTCTAAAATAAAAAAGTATCTATCTCTCAAATTATAAGGATTAAATGAAACAATGCAACTAAAAGTGCTTATCATTGGCCTTGAGTATAAGCACTCAATAAATGGCACCTATTATTAATCTAATCTGGTTTAAAATACACCAAGTTTCAATACTTAAACAGCAAGAGTGGCCCTGTTTACATCTTTTTCTAGCATAGTGCTCATCAACAGTATACACTCAAATATTTAATGAAAAGATATAGAGAAACACCCAAAGCAGATTCAAATTAATGTATCACAAATAAAAATCCTATGTGTTGAGGTAATACTAAAAAGAAAAGTTATTAGTGATGAGGACATGAAAAAAAGGTATTCAAGGAAGACATCCTTTGCAGTTCATTTATACTATAGTTGAATTTGAGGCATTTCATGGAAAAGCTATTCCAAATTTTTCCCTTTTGGTGGTAGACCGCAATACTAGGTACAATGTACATTTAAAACTTGAACACTTCATTGTGTGTAAATGTTTTATCAAAAGAAAAAACTGTAAACAAATTTTGATTCTTGCTAAATATATACAAAGTATTTATAGGAAAGTACTACTGTCTACAATTTACTTTGAAATGCATCAAAAAAATGAGATGAATTGATGGGTAGATACAGGGATGGTAGATGGATAAATACGTAAGTAAAATGTTAACAGTAGAATCTAGGTGGTAGGTATATGAGTATTCACTTTGAAATTCTTTCAACTTGGCTGCATGACTGAAATTTTTCACAATAAAATGTTGGGGGGAGTGGGGAACAGGCACAAATTCCTCCCATTCCGGTGTACACTCCTCTTTGCAGTGTGACGTTGCTGCTTCTCCCATAAAGAGGTGGCATGTATATCTTTACTTCATCTGAGTTGGCTCTGTGACTTGCTTGACCAAGAAAATATACAAGAAGTGACTGTGGGACTTCTAAGCCTAGGTCATAAAAGGCCTGCCTCTTCCTTTCTTTGAATACAGCTACTGCCATTGTGAATGCCCACTTAGAGTGAGAGCGTGCCAAAGAGAGGCCTAGGCAACAGCCAGCACCAGCCACCACATATGTGAGTGAAGCCACTATCTTAATTTAAGATCACCCATCCATGGTCCATATGACCACAGCCACACGAGTGATACAAGGAAAGACCAGCAAAAATCGCGCTACCTGAGTTGAAGCCAAATTGCTAACCCACAAAATCCGTTGGAATAGTTTGTTAGATGGCAATAGATAACCAGTAAACCTTTTCTCCATACTTTTAGAACACAAAATTAAAGCTACTTATCTATTTAACGGTAAGCTTCTGCTTTAACCACCATAGCCACTTCCACCACCTTCCTTCACTTGTCCTCAGAGAATGAACTTTCTCTTTTTCTAAGGATGCCCCCCCCCTTACATTCTTAATCCCATTGAATTCCCCTACTTCATTATAATGAATGATCCTCTCCTTTGCATTAATTCCTCCTTTACTTGCTTCTCTACTTCTCTGCCATAAAATGCTCAAGTTTTCTCCATACTGAGGTGGAAATTTTCTCAACATTCTACTTCAGACTCTAGTGCTTCCATTTTAATTTTATCCTTTTACTGCCAAACTTCTCCAATGAGTGACCTAGAAAGTCCTTTCTTGACTCATGCTGCCTTGAAAAAAAACATCTACTTGTCCTTCAGGGCCCAATTCAAAGGCAGCCTCCTATCTGAAGCTTTTCTTAAAGCAGTTCCTATCAGAATTCATCCTTTTAGCTCATCTAAAAAATTGTATCTTTATTTTGTAGACTTAATGTTGCTTTTGCCTGCTCAGCATGTTTTCTTCTGGTACTAGTATCTATAACTTCTTTTTGGAAACTACTTATCTCCCTTTTATTCCACTGAGTTCAAAGAGGGCTTGGAAACTACTTCTCTCCCTTTTATTCCACTGAGTTCGAAGAGGGCTAGACCATCCTAACTCCCCACTCTCCCCTCCCCCAACCACTCCAAAGGATCCAAGTCTGGTCATTCAGAGTTAATGCCAGGACTTCTGAAACTATTTGTAAAGGAAGCTTATCACTGAGGTTGCTAAGCTGATAGGATTTAAGCCTGGCACTGCCAGTGGCTATCTTTGTTACCACTTGAGATGCTGCGGGAGAATGTATCCAAGCCAGAAAAGGGCAGAGCTAAGTTAAATGAAATGAGACAGACTCTGGATATTACATTAAGCATCCGGATCCAACCCATGTCCAAGGCCAGTCTTTTCATTTATGTAAGCCAATAAATCCACCTCTTTGCTTAAGTTGGTTTAAAATTACTTTCTGTTATGATAACCAAAAATATCTTTATTAACACAAACTCTGTAACCTGTGTGTCTACCCAACAGACTAAAATAAGCTTAAGTGCAAAGGCCTACTTTTCATGTTTTTCTTCCCTACAACATTTAAAATCACCTTGCTTAATATGTAAATTAATTTCATGAACATGTGTTTTAACAGGGTAGAATGACGGCTAATGGACAGTCCTGAAGAAGGGATTTCAGATCACACAAGAGAATGAATATATGGTGGGAGATATGAATCAAATGTAATTGCCTGTTATCGAACACCACAACACACCACCTATTTTTCACAAAATCAAGATGGATAAATAACATTATAAAAGATACTGGACTGCAATTCATCTTCCACAAGCATAATGCCTATTTGTTATTTAAGTATTCTCCTGGCTACCACATTTGGTAATGACATGACATTTTTCTGAAAGGAGGATCTGGATTTTTTTTTCTAAGTAAGTGAGTTTAAGATACAGTTTATTCAATGGAGAACACACTTATTCCAAATATTTCAAATTAATGTTACCTTTCATTTACTGACAATGGTATAAAATTAATAGTTTGAAATATATTTTAACAATGAATGTGTGTTTTTTTCCACATCAGTTCATTTGCTTGCTGTAACCCTAGTACCAACCCAAAGCAGTATGTATATGTATATGCTAAAGTAAGTCAACTCTAGTCAGTAATAGTGAGCTGTGTATTAGCAGCTAAATTACCATATTTTAGTTTTCCAAAAGATTATCATGCATGTATACTCAAATGGTAATAAAGGACTGAAAAGGTGGACAAAAAGTAACCCTGTGCTTCAGCTATTTTTCTGGAGCTACTATAACTGACTTGCTTCATTAATATGTAAAAACAAAACTTCATTAGATGACAAATATTTAGCAGGAAATAATTTCCTACAAAATGAAAACTTCTGTGCTAATGTTTTCCTAACCCAAGCTGGGAAAGACAATATAACTAGTTTTGCAACGATGATTGTATACCATCTGCCAAAAATTTCCCAACATAAAGTAACCCAGTGCTGATCACAATGCCTTAGCTACTTTAAAATTCTTCAAAAGAGGGCAATTAAACTATTCAGTTGAACTTTTGGATACCATTTGCAGGCCCAAAGAATTAATTTAAAAGCTCTTGGCTTCTGTGTA